AGAACCAATTAGCTTATACGAATTAAAAACGGTGACTTTTGGCATAAACTGTGCTCCTTATCTCGCGATAAGGACATTGCATCAACTAGCTGATGAGGTTGAGAGCTCTTTTCCAATCGCATCCGAAATTTTGCGAAAGTGTATGTACGTGGACGACGTACTTGCTGGAGGACACAGCATCGAATCAGCGATTAAAGCTCGAGAAGAAATACTACAGGTACTGGATTCAGCAGGGTTCCCGTTAAGAAAGTGGACTTCGAACTCCAGCAAAATACTTGAAGGTATACCGAAATCTCATTTACTCACCGAAGATTTTCTAGAGTTTGAAGATACTAGTGCGGTAAAAGCACTTGGCATCAGATGGAATGCCAAATCTGACTACTTCTATTTCACAGCAAAACCAATAGAAAATCGTGACGTCATCACCACCCTTGTCGATGAATGGATTAAGGGGCAAAATTTCGCTTTTCGCTTGGATGGATTTACCTGATTTCAATTGTTCATATTCTTCTCTATAGTGTCGTTGTTGATAAATGGTTATTAAGCGTTGTGTCCTTGTTTTAATCTCGGCCGGCGAAATTAATGAAGACTCCGCTTTAAAAGAAGATTTTGTACTGAGGTGGGTTTTTTGATAGAATCTCATAATATATGAGATGACCCTCAAAGCTCTTGAGAAATCTGAAAATCTGTCGAGAATTTCAAAGTTATTTGTGCTAGTTGTTGCGTGAACTTGCACCCTTTTTTCCTCTATGATTGTGTCGTAGTTCGCTTCTTGTGCTGGCCATTTTGACTTGTCTTCTTGTAACCAAGAAGGACCCTGCCACCACAAGGAGTTGTTGACTAGCTCACTAGCCGAAAGTCCTCTACTCGCCAGATCTGCTGGGTTTGATGCCGAATCCACATGACGCCAGTTTTCGGTTCCCACCTTGTCTACAATTTTTGTTATTCGGTGAGCAACGAAAGTTGACCACGAACACGGTGGTTTCCGGATCCATGCTAGAACTATTGTCGAATCTGTCCAGAGATTTATTTTCAAATGTCCAAGACTTAGATTTTCGACGACCGCTCCTAAGGTTTCCGAAAGCAAAGCTGCGCCGCAAACTTCTAAACGGGGTAACGATACTGTTTTGATGGGCGCTACCTTTGTTTTTGCCATTAGAAGGCTGACAAAAACTCTTTCCGCAGTCTTAACTCTTAAGAAAACAGTCGCCGCGTATGCTTTCTCCGAAGCGT